TTTACATTATCTTTTCCTTTTTATTGAAAAAAAATTGTGCTCCGTCGAAATTATAACACCACTATCAGTTTTTAGATCCAAGGAGGCACATTTTTCGACTTTTTTATAAGTGTTTTCGCAGGGGACGCACTATTTTATGGGGTGAATGTGGACACGGTCGGCGATGCAAACCGGTGCGCTAGCTTTGACTGCGTTGCATGCTACGTATGAAACAGAGTATAGTCTTGAATAAGCTGCTGCACCTTCACTCGCTCCCAGAGACGCACCCCACGACAGTTCTAGAAATATGTAAAATGCAGACGCAGGATTCGGTTTCGAATAATGTGCACGACGCGAAACTTGTTGAATCTCGTATAAAACGAATTCTCAAAACGAGTACTCGCAGGTGTAGCTATGTGGAAAGGTGCCCGCTTCTTACGGAGGGAACCGAGGTTTGATGCAAAAAATAAACATACATTGTTTTTTCTGTTTTTGTTTACAATTATTCTTGAGAAAAATGAATGTCGACGAAACTTTGTGCATTATTTTTTTTCCTTTCCTTTTTAATTTTTTTTTTTGCACAATTATTGAAAATAAAATGTCGACAAAGCTTTGAACTAAATGGTGTCGGACTCCCTTTCTAGAGGTGCATAGGGAAACGGCGGGGCTTCGGTTGCCGGATGAATGCCGCGAAGCAGCATTCATACTTTTTTTTTTTCGGTAGGGCAAATGCTGCTGACCTGTGACTCCCGTTGAGCAGGGGAAGAGTCAAAACAGAGTCACACGAAAAATGGACTCTCTAAGAGAGTCGTGAAGTGTCAAAGAGAGTCATGGAAGCAGTGACTTCCTTTGGACTCCTTTTTTTCTAAGAGTTTGCGCTATCGGGTGTACGACTCGCTCTGGACGTGGCAAGACACTGCTCTTGATTCCCACCGGGACAAGGAAGAAAAGACGACGGAAGGAATGGCTCCACAAGATAAGCAGGGTTGGATTTGCGCCGACGCCCAATTCGAGGCTTTGCGAAGTGAGTATGATTACAGTTGAATGCGGGTTCACTTGACGTTGCAGTGTTGAGTGAGATCGGCACCGCATACTACGATGAAAAGTGGCAGCCTCCTAAACATAACATTAATCCACCAAGTTGTAATCACCATCTTAATGCTCTGAATATAAGGAAACTGCCAAATTAAATGGCGTGGTAGCCGCGCTCAAAATGCTTCCTGGGGTGTCGGGACTGACAGGCCCGTGAGGTTTGTCGTAATTATTCACCTTGTCACCGAGAACATGCTCTACAAGCCACCGAATGTGTTTGTTTCAATAATGCTAACATTAAAACTGCCACATTTGCTTATATTCAAATATTAAAAAAACCTTCCTCCTTAATTAATAGTTTTTTGAGTGAAATGCAGACACATAAAATTGCATCCACTGAAAATTATATTTCACAACTGTGAGGGAAGAAGAGGACGCCGAAGCGAACGGACTAGTTCCTATCGGCTCCGTCATTTATGGTTAATTTCGCAGTATTAATTTGCGCGATTCAAGGTCTTGTGTATCCCAGTGAGTTTGTGAAGTCGAGAGACGCCAACGGATAACAAAGTTCCCAAAGGTACGCCTTTTTTGCCGAAATAACAGACATTTTCCACCACCGTCGTGCGCGGGGCCGCTAGGCCTAGGTGTGCTCCACGAGCGATAGGCCTAGTCGCTGTCGCTCCTGCCGCGGCTCGCCGTTTCGGCGGCGGCCACTAAGCCCCGAGATGGAGGGGACGTCCGCTCGGGCAACGATCTTCGACTCCCAAATGTGCGTGCAAGTTCAAGGCGAAGATCTTTCACCAGAGGAATTCCACAGCGGCACTGGATGGACGCAAGTGGGGGAACGCATGTCCAGACTACGTCAACGAGACCTTGTCGCGAAGCTCGCCGGCACCGACAACCAAGTAAGCAAGAATGCGAAGGGTAACAAGAACGTTAGAGCCTCGGCCATCAAGGCAGCGAGAATGCCAGCCATGCCGCTGGAGGAAAACAAGATCGTCATCAGACCCCGTGGGGGATTGGACATTACCAAGATTGGCACCACGACCGTCGCCACGGCCATTCTCGCCGCGGCCAAGATTACGACTGAAGAGAACGCATCAGACACCATTTGCCCAAACGCGCTACAAAACATCATGGTAGTCAGCACGCCTAAGGAGGAAAACGCCGTCCGCTACGCGAGAATTCAAACGATATCCATTCAAGACAAGACCTTCGAAGTCAGCGCGTACCGCACGGCGCCGCACGACACCGTGAAGGGCATCATCCGCGGCATCCCTGTCAACGCGAGTGCCGAAGAACTCGACAGCAACATTGTAAACGACAGAAACCCACTCGCCGTAGGAGCCAAAAGAATCGGCAACACGACCACGATCATTGTAGCCTTCGGAGGACCCAAGGTACCGAACTTTGTCCGATACGGTGTCACGCTCATACCGTGCAACCTGTATAGAAAGCAAATAGACGTCTGCCACCAGTGTGGCCGGGTCGGGCATCGCAAGGACGTGTGCCCAACTCCAACCAACCGCATCTGCAGGGGCTGCGGCCAAACAAAACCAAAGGAAGACCACAAATGTACGCCCAAATGCAAACTTTGCGGAGGCGCTCACTTGACCGCCGATAGAGAATGTAAAGCCAAATACAAGGTTCCCTACGTCGTCCGCAAGCGGCAGTGGGAGCGCCGAAAGCAAAACGTCAGCGACTGGCTGCCGTCGGAGAGCAACTTCCCGCTACTCGACGAGCCGGCTGCCCGCAAGTCAAGGACGCCATCGAGAAACCGCGCGCCGTCGAGAAATAGCAGCAGCAGGAGCCAGAGCAGAGACGCGCGACAAACAAAAAGCCAAAGATCAAAGTCGCGCGAGAGAGTCAGTTTGGCCGACGCCGCACGAGGTATCAAGAAGACCAATTCGAACGACAATGCCAAGAAAGAAGACAAAGCTTCAACCAAGGAACGAGAAATCAACGAGGCCCTGAAACAGGAGAACGCGTCCCTGCGAGCCACCATCAACAACCTCACCAAGGAAATAGCGGAGATTCGCAACGTCTTATGCACCATCGAACAGCCAAGATCCTGCCCGAGCGACAACAACAAGGTCGAAGAAGCTACGACAGACGGAGATAAAGCACCGGCACCGAAGAAAAGGGCCTTCGAATTGCGTAAGACCACGAAAAACGTAAGCAGCTGCAGCTCCGGCAGCAGCAGCTCCGGCAGCAGCTACAACAATGTCGAGGCGAAACTCAGCAGCCTCGAGGATATGATCAAATCGATGAAGGAAGCCATCCAAGCCTTCCAAACGGAGAACGTCAACAGACTCAATAACCTGGAAAGGAGCTTGCAACTAACCCTAAGCAACCCAACGTTCGGGCCCCTACAGCAGCAAGTCAACCAAGCGCAGCAACCCGGAGAACTTCGAATAGGACCATCATGGCCTCCAGCTCCACAGGCATAACGATGTGGCAGTGGAACTGCCGCGGCTTAGTCAAGAAAAGGGCAGTTGTCCAGCAACACATTGAGCACGCTGCGCGCAAGCCCGACGTGCTCCTACTCCAAGAAACGCTAACGGAAAAGCCGTCCCTCCCCGGCTACAGGGTGCACGCGGGCCCGTCCGACGGCAGAGGTCTGTGCACCCTGGTCAGGAAGGGTCTCACCTTCGTCGAACATCGACTAAGCAACGTCAGGATCGAACACACACTCGCCGAACTCATACTGACCAAGCAAAGAAAAAACAGCATCTTCATTTTGAATATCTACAGTAACCCATCGCAGAGACTGCAGAGGTTCAAAGCCATTCTTCACAAGGCAAGCACGACGGCCGGCCAGAGCACGCTGGTCGCGTGCGGCGACTTTAATGCTATGGATCCGGCGTGGGGCTACGTCAAGAGTAATGCGAAAGGCAGAAACCTATCCCACGATGCGGCGGAGCTCGACTACACACTCATAACCGACCCGGCTCTCCCAACGAGAATGGGCAACTCCGTGTCCCGAGATACCACCCCTGACCTCACGTTCGTCAAGAACAATGAACCGATCACGATCACGTGGAGGAACACGGGGATGGACCTCGGCAGCGACCACATGATAGTGGAAATCGTCATACCGGAGCAGAGCAGTGCTAATGTCAGGAAACATACGTGGATCGATTGGACCGCATTCAGAGATAACAGAAATCAGGAGGCGGAAGAAGAGACCGAAATTGATGACATCGAAACATGGACCAACAAGATCATTCAAGACGTTCAAAACTCAACCAAGAACATAGAAACAGACCTCGAAACGAACACAATGGACAGCCGACTGGCACACCTCATCGAGGCCAAGCAGTCCATACTCAACAGATGGAAAAAGCTACGCCTCAATCGTAGGCTACGGAAAAAAGTCGCAGAACTTAACAGGACAATCGAGGAATACTGTCGCACGCTATGCGCCCAACAATGGGACGAGATATGCAACGCCGCCGACGGACAGATGCATAACGGGAAAACGTGGAACTTGCTTAGGCATCTGCTCGACAAAACTAAGACTAAGTCACACCAAAGAGACCGACTGGCGAAACTCATCCATCGAGAGGTCACTAAACACGGAGCCGAGCATGTGACGAAGCGCATCAGCGACAGATACCTGCCGACTACTCCAACGGAGTGCCCCGGGCCGTACGGGGGGCTACGCAACGAGCGTCTTGACAGAGACATAGACGTAGAGGAGGTTCGCACGGCGCTGCAAGACCTCAACAGCAAGTCGGCGGCTCGACCGGACCGCATCACCAACAAAGCACTCAAGAACCTCGACGACAAATCCATCGAAAGTCTCACGAGCTACTACAACAAATGCTGGAAAACGGGAACGCTGCCGACGCAGTGGAAGAAGGCCAAGACTATCCTGATCCCCAAGCCGGGCAAGCCACCAGACACCGACAACCTCCGACCCATATCGCTCACGTCTTGCATGGGCAAGGTGCTGGAGCACGTCCTGCTCAAGAGGTGCAGGAATACCTCGAGAAAGAGGACCTCTACCCGGAAACGATCATCGGCTTCAGGCAGCACCTCAGTACCCAAGACGCAATGATTCAACTCAAGCACCAGATCATCGACGGCAACACCAGCGACAACAAAGCGATATTGGGACTCGATCTGCAGAGCGCCTTCGACAAGGTGAAGCACTCGGCGATCCTATGCCAAGTCTCGAAACTCAACATGGGAGAGAGATCATACAAATACATCAAAGATTTTCTCACGGACAGAACTGCCGAGCTCAGAGCGGGGGATCTCCAAGCGCAAGAGAAGAAGCTGGGAAGCACAGGCACACCTCAAGGATCAGTCATCTCGCCGATGCTTTTCAACCTGGTGATGATAGGAGTGGCCGAAAGGCTCGGAAACATCAAGGAAGTTCGACACACGATATACGCGGACGACATAACGCTGTGGGTGGAAGGGGGCAGCGATGCCCACATCGAATCCACTCTACAGGCGGCTGTCGACGCGATCGAAGACCACCTTGACGGAACGGGGCTCAGGTGCTCGCCGAGCAAGTCGGAGCTCCTTGTATACCCGCCCGTCAAGCACCGCAAACCCAAGAGCAGCCCGAGAAACTACGAGGCAATCAAAGTGAAGAGCAGAGAAGGAAACGAGATCCCAAGAGTCACCAAGATCAGAATCTTAGGAATGACGATCGAGACGCACGGCAGAAACGGTGACACTGTCACCCGGCTCATAGCGAAAGCGGCAAACGCCACGAGACTACTCAAGCGAGTCACGACCAAGAAAAGTGGAATGAGGGAAGAGAGCCTGATCAGACTCATCCACTCGTTTGTCATATGCCACGTAGCGTACGTGGCGGCCTACCACAAGTGGAAGAAGAGCGAGAGAAACAAGATAAATATACTCATCCGTAGGGCCTTCAAGACGGCAATGGGACTGTTCGAAACAACGAGCACCAACCGCCTCCTGCAGCTGGGGGTGCACAATACGCTAGAGGAGATAGCGGAAGCCCAACGCAACGCTCAACTCGAAAGACTATCTACGACCAAGGCCGGCCGGAAAATCCTGGACAACCTGGGAGTTGGCTACCAAGGCAGGGAGCGGACGCAGCTCCCCATCCCCGATGAGATCAGGAACAACATCAGAGTGGACTCTATACCGAGGAACATGCACCCGGAGTATAACAAAGGGAGGAGAGCGGCGAGAGCCAGGGCCCTGATAGATCAGCACGCGGCCGACGGACACGCACGCTACGTGGACGCGGCTGAATACGCCAAGCTACACGGTTTCACGACAGTTGTCGTCGACGCGACCGGCACCGTTCGCACGACCGCCAGCACGAGATGCACCAAGGCAGAACAAGCGGAGGAGGTAGCCATCGCCCTGGCCATCGCCGACCGCGACTGCCACACGGTGCTGTGTGACTCGAGGCAGGCGGTGAGGAATTATGCCAAAAGCATGATATCGAAGGAAGCGGTGCGCATACTGCAGTCAACCAAGAACGACGGCGGCAGCAAACAAGTGAGAATCAAATGGTTCCCCGCGCACGCGGGCGAGGCGTCGGATCGAAACGCCAACCACAACGAGACAGCACATGCCGAGGCGCGCGCGCTAACGGACCGCGCCTCGACCGACTGGCCGCTGTGGTTCAGCACCAAGGACCGAATGACCGACTACAACGAGATAACCAAGGCTTTCCGCCTAGCTCGCAGAACTCTCCCACCACCTTGCTCGGGGCTCAGTCGAGAACAAGCCGTTTTATTTAGACAGCTGCAGACGGGCTCACTCCCCAGCCCATTGCTGATGCATAGAATGTATCCCGAGGCGCACCCGACAGACAAGTGCAGAGTCTGCCGAAGGGAGACGGCCGGCTTCGCACATATGCTGTGGGATTGTATCAAGTACCCGGAAGAATCAAAGTCTGGGAGCATCCCGCTGCGACTTGAAGCAGCCGCAGGGAGCGATAATCAAGAACAACAACTCTGGGCCGTCCAGCAGGTCATCGGGGCGCTGGCCCGGCAGGGACCCAGCGCCCAGAAGACGATGTAGGCCCCGTCCGGAGCGCGCGCGCAAGCGCGCGTTTTACTGCAGGCTAAAATAAAGTTTACCCACTCCACTCACAACTGTGTGATAACTGTTTCCAATGGGTGCAATATTCACAAAAAAAAGTCGTGTATATCAGCATGCAATGGGACTGCTAATATTTTTTAACCTTGTCATGTCCTGTTCGTTTCTTTTTCAATTCTCTATATATTGTAGGCCCCGAGGCTATACTTAGCCTCGAGGTGCCTACAAGGGCCCCCGAGGCTAAATATATATTAATTTTTGCTTACGCTCTTGCTTTGTGCCAATGATTGTCTTTATAGGACCACTTCACGAGGAACCAGTTCGAGCAGCACAGAGCCGACGGCTTGAAAAAACTTAAACCGAATGCTTCTCCATCGCTGTTTGGTCACCGGCCCATGAAGCCTAGCAGCAAGCCACGAACTCAGAGGCTGGGCAAGTGTTCCACTTTTACATTATTACTTATGTGCTTATGTTTCATAAAATTATTATTTACTGAGGCTTGCACTCTACTAAACACCAAGTCCTGCAGTCTGGACGGCATTGATTGGTGGACGAGTGTGCTAGTACACCGCAGTTCAGCGCATGTGCAGTGAAACTTCGTGCTGCCCCCAGGGACTACCCACTGGTGGAATCCTCATTCCTGCCCAGTCCGATTTGGAAGAGCATTCTACATGAGTATGATCATGTATCACTACTGCCTGATCCACGTTAAAGACTCCAGCCTTGCAGCCGTACTGCACCGACTAAATTTGTTATCTACAGTGTGGACCACCATCGTTGCAAAAGTGTAGACCTACCCAACGGTCTCAACGCGCAACGCCTATTTTACTTTTGTCATACAGTGCCCAGCCATTCTACAGCTGATTCCTCCCCTCCGGTGATAAACGTGGAACCTCAGGCCAGCACCGAGGAGCCCAGCCAGATGTCTGGAAATCCCGATGGCGAGCATACTCCTTTTCTAGAGATGCGAACCAATAATGGAGGACCTTGGTTAGACGTCTGTCATAGACATTATTTTTCTGAAGTTCTACGTACCTGCTGATCACCACTTGCACAGGACAATGAGTTTCATCTGTCACAATACTTTTACAGTACAAAGCAGAAGGGGAAAAATTGGAACAAGCATTGCAATAGGTCCCCATATGGCAGAGTGTCTCTCAACTCTGTGCCCTCTTCTGCTTAAGCACTGCGGCATGTCCACAACGATGTTGCCTGTGTACATAGCACAGCGTATGTGCACAAGTCTTTTGAAAAAGAAACCTTTCAACTAAACAAAGAGGCCAGACATGCCTTATGCCATGTGTTACTTGGCTATTTTACAGCAAATTGTACTATGTTTAAAACACTAACGAAATGTAAGATAGGACATATTGTACGCCTTGTCCTGTCCACCTCTTCTTTCATCTTGTATGTGTTTTGGGTTGAGTACAATATGATAAGCAATAAACAACTAGCCGGGTTCCTTTTATCGTCCCCTCTGCTTACAATACACGAACTCAACTCTCCTACGTCACGCCGCGGTGGTGACGCGCCGGACGCACTTCCGGTCTGGGGCGGTGGGCAGAAGTCGCCGTGTCAGACATGCCTTCCCGTGTTCCTTTGGAAACAACGAGACAAGAAACCTGCCTTCTTTACAATATGCTGCGACGGTGGCTGTAGCAATAGAGTCGGGAAAGGTTTGAAGATCAGTTTTCATGTGTTTTTGCCCCCTCCGTTCGTCCGAGAACGTGAATAGTAGCCGTGAAAAGGGCAAACCAGACGCTGTCGAACTACGATTGCGTGTGCGGGCAACACTTTGTGGTCGCCAGATGTATTTGATTTGTTCCAACATAACCGAGAGAAAATCGCCAAGTTGTCCGAACCACCCACGTGTTCAGTGAGTCTTCAAATTCACGCGGCCGTCTGATCGTTCGAACTTTCGTCTGCTCGTTCAAACGTCTGCTTTTTGTCGTCTGCTCGTTCAAACAAAAGCGGCACGTAGACCGAACTTTGACCCGGTGATTGCAATAAGTAATTGCAGGCCTCAAAAGACTTAAGTAGGCTCGGTGTAAACAGTAGATACAAGATGTTGATCATTGGTGCCGGTGGCCATCACCGACTTGTTACGCTTGGTCTGTTCCCGCTTCCGATTTTCAGTATCGACGTCGATCATCGCCGCTACCTTCTACACTTTTGCAACACGAGCGACGTCGCTACCGAAAATAGCTAGAAGAATCTCATCATGGTTTTGGCGTCCATTCTGCGGCGTTCATGGGAATCAATCGCCGCACGTCAAATTATTTACGCGATGTTTAGCGGCGTAACGAACCTTGATAATTTCGCTTAGGCGATTAAAGTGGTAAGACATTGCGGTGAGGACGTAGAATCGACAATTCCAACGCGAAAAAGAGTATGCAGACTCAGACAGACGCCGACAACGTGACATTCGAGTTTTTTGTTGGCGCGGGACGGCGGTGCTTCTTGCCCGTACCCCATTACGCATGCGTTCGAACTGTCGTCTGCTCTTTCAAAATTGGCTGCTTTTTGTCGTCAGCTCGTTCAAACGATAGCGGCCCGTAAACCAAACGTTGACCCGGTAATTGCGATAAGAACTAAGTGCAGGCCTCAAAACGCTTTAGCAGGTTGGTTGGGGTAAGTAAACTAAGTGTAAACAGATACAAGAAGATGTTGATTATTATTGTTACCAAAGGCCATCACCGACTAGTAATGCCCGATTCTACTTGCGGTTTTCAGTATCGACGTCCACCATCTCAGCTACGGTCCACGCTTTTGCAGTCCAATCAACGTCGTGTCTGAAAACAGCGAGCAGAATCTCATCGTGGGAGTCAGGCTTTAGCGCCTATTTTGAGGCGTCCACGTGAAATGAATCGCAGCACGTCACATTATTCACGCAAAGTTTGGCTTCGTTAGTTTTGCTGAAGCCGTTCAAGTAGTCAGACATTGTGAGGAGAACGTAGAATCAACAATTCCAACGTGAAAAGGAGCACGGGGACTCCCACCGACGCCGACAACAACGCAATTCAATGGTTTGTTTATGGGCGACGGCGGGCTACTTGCCCATCATCCACCGCGCATGCGCTGCGCCGGTGGCGTCCGCTAGAGGCGCTCCGGTTTGTTTGTAAACATGAGTTGGTGTATAGCTTACAATATGCCTCTGCTTCAAGGATGTGGTTTTTCTGCTGATGTTTGACAAATCAACACAATATAAATCCAGTGACTTTCAATTGCTTACACAGATCCTTGGCAACTCACTCTTGGGAAAGATTCAATGACCAACAAAGTGGTTGCTACAATTTCTGTTAACCATAAACATCGCGTCCGGATGTGCAACAGCTGTCAACATTAAGAACCCAAAATATCTGAAGAATAATTTCACTGACTGCCATTAAACCGTCACTGTTTCACACTCATATTTAGACGGACAAGAAGGTTGTGTAAAGCGATTTAAAGTACAGCTAAGATATTTATTGCAGCACAGTACTTCCCATAGCTACACAAAATTCTGGCAAAAAACAATATTGTCAGAAAGCAATGGACAAAATGAAACAATTCAGCCAAAATAAATAAAAAAGCATCAGACTTCGAGGATGCAAAACATACGCAAAGAATACCTAATGCAAAAGCCTTTGGAGAGGCAGCTCGTCTTAATCGAGGCGCTGTGTGCAATAGTGGTAAAAGTGCAAATTCAGAGCTCGCCAAAAAGTCCCTGAATAATTTTATCTGTGCATGTCAAGGTCAGTTTAGCGTTTAAACTTCGAGTAAATAAGTGTACAGCGTTCCCTACTATCAAAAGTAGAGTGCCACATGCATAAGTATAATATCTGGGACTGTTAATATCATGAATCGTACAAGTGTACTTGTACCACTATTGCACGTAGCCCCTCAATTGTAGGCTTGCACGATTAGCGGTTCATTGGGATAGTGCTGCGTCATTCATAGCCTTCGCAAGCCACAATGTTCCGGCTTTCTTTGCAGTAAAGCAACGTTGCATCGTTCGATTTGAACCACTATTTGCGGAAACCTCCTTCGGCTTGTGTAAACACTCAAATACATGAACCTAAAAACATTTTTTGCATGAAGTCAACTTGTGAAATTGCATATAGGTACATCTTCTGCACGCACTCGCATTATCTGTACAACACATTCAAGCTAAATGACTGAAATATGATGTTGGCAAATGTGCATACAGCGTACCATTTGTTTAAGATCTTTGCTTTAACAAACTTGAAACTGTAGACGTCAGCACGTGCAGCATGTGTAACTACACCGCGCAGTATGCTCTTTGGTGCTTGGCACCTACTCTGTTTCCCCTCATGTTGTACTGCAGCAAAGGCTAGAAGTGCAAGCTCGAGAGCCAACAACTGCTCTTGCTGTGCTAGAGCTTGTGCTGCAAAGATGCGCCCTAAAGCAAAAAGCTCGTGCTTCTAGCCTTTCCTGCGGTACATCGCAACGGTGAAACGGAGCGGACAGAGATGACGAAAATCAGCACATTCACACTTTAGGCCCACGCTCTCAATAAAAAGGAACATGCTCAAGCTCAAATCTAAAAACATGTCTGTCGTGTAAGGTACATCACCATATTAGGCACAGGAGAAAATCAGCCCTCAGCATTAGGTCCTCATTTCGAACCCTTTGGTGTAAGACAAGATCCCCTTTCGCCCGAAAGGGTGAAAGGGCACCTTGTCTTACACCGTATATGTTGGGAGATCATCATCATCACCTCCGCCGCCGGGTGACCCTGGACTCTGGCCACTGCTTCCGAGCGAGGACCCTCTCTACCAGATCGCGACCAGACAGGGCACGACTCACACCTGTATTGCTATGCTAGAATAAACATACGCGGTTGAACCAATCTTGTCTTAACCACGGCAGTATCCTTCTGCACAATAAGGTCTGACCATGGCAACAAAAAGCTGGCTGAATGGACGCATTAAGCAGTTCAGCGTCTGAAGCCTGCAATTGATGATGTCATTCCTCCATCTGCCGTCTGCCAAGAGCAAAGTGGCGCTTTTAGCAGACGACACCTGGGCTGGAAGCATTTG